GTGTTTGAGCACAGCTTCCGACTAATCCTTGGCCGGCTGGTAGGCTAGACGGATACAGGGGAAGCTCTCGGTAGCTGCGCACTAAAGAGAGAGAGGTTGAACTTTGAGGATGTTACAGTAGGTGAAATACGGCAATCACAAATAGACAAACCCTGTAGCATTTCACTCATATCACTTGTATAAGGTATCTAAGTAGTCGAATTCCTGGAAATGGAAAGTAGAATCGTGGTTTCCAGGACCTGAAGGAAGGGAAAATGGGAGGTTAGTGCTTGATGTGAATGAAGTTTCAGTTTTGCATGATGAATGAGTTCTAAAGATCTGTAGCACAGTAATGCAAATAAACTCACCACCACTGGGCTGCACGCTCAGAAATGGTTACAATGGTAAATTTCCTATTATTTTTATCACAATTTAAAATCATTTTTTTAAATAAAAGAATAAACAGTTCCATAATAATAATTGTAGACCTCAATACCCCACTCTCGGCAATTGATAAAATAACTAGACAAATCAGCCAGAATAAAGAAACAGTACCGTCAAAAACCTTGACCTAATGAACATCTGTAGAACGCTCATCCAGTGGCAGAACGTACATTCTTTTCAAGCATATAACAAACATCCTGAAAGACAGATTATATTCTGAGCCATATACTAAGTCTCAATAAATTTAAAAGGATGGAAATCAAAGCATGCTCTCTGATCACGATGGAATTAAACTGAAATCAAAGCAGAAAGAAATCTGGAAAATCCCCACATATCTGGAAAGTAAACAGCACCTTCCTAAATAGCCCATGGGTCAAAGAGAAGAAGTAACAAGAAAAATTCAAAAATATTTTAACTGGATGAAAAGAAAATACATCAGAATCTAGGGAATGCACCTAAAGCACTGTTCAGAGGGAAACACATAGCTTTAAACATTTATGTTTTAAAAAGGATAAAGATTTCAAAATAATAAATTAAACTTCCACCTTAAGAAACTAAAAAACGAAGTGCAAACTAACCCAAAGGAAGCAGAGGGAAGTGAATTGTAAATATGAGAGCGGAGTCCAGTGAAATAGAAAACAGAGGAAATGAATGAAACTACAAAATCGTTCTTTCAAAAGATCAGCAAAGTTGACAAACCTTTAAGGACCCTGATCAAGAAAAAAAGAGTGAGAGACGATACATATCACCAAGATCAAGAATGCAAAAGAGAACATCCAGAAGTTAAAAAAACTTATAAGAGACACTCTGAAGAACTTTATGCCAATAAATCGGACAACTTTGGTGAAATGGACAGATTTCTAGAAAGGCACAAGTTACCAAAACTGACCAAAGAAGGCAAAAAACCTGAATAGCTCTATAATTAGTAGAAGAAAACTAGTAATTTAAAATTTTTTCCACAAAGAAAAACTCAGGCTTCCATGATGAATTCTATCAAATATTTCAAAAAGACATAAACATAAAGTATGCCTGAAAACTCATTTTATTAGGCAGCAACACAATGATACCAAAGCCAAAAGAGATATCACAAAAAGAGAAAAACTATAGACCAGTATACCTCATGAACATAAATGTAAAAAATTTCAACACAATATTAGCAAACCAAATCCAGCAATATACAAAAAGGATATTCACCAGTAGGATTTGTCTTGGAAATGCAAGGTTGAAAATCAATTAATGTAATACACCATAGTAATAGAATAAAAGACAAAAACCATGTGATCATCTGAAAATACAGAAAAAATTTTTTACAAAGTCTAATATGTATGATAAAAACTCTCTACAAAGAAAGGATAGAAGGGAAATTCCAGAACCTGATAAAAAGCATCTACAAATTGTACTTCTATGTTCTAACAATAAACAATCTGAAAATGGAATTTTAAAAATTCCATTTAGAATGAGAGAATAGAATATTTAGGACTAAATTGAGCAAAAGCGATGCAAGCTTTGTACTGTACACTGAAACTGTAAACCACTGCTGAGATAAATAAAATTTAATTAAACCAAGAGTCCAGGAATACAGATAGATTAAAGACTCACGATTGTTAAATTGACAATTCCATCCAAATCGATCTATACGTTCAACATAATCTCTATCAAAATCCCAGTAGGTTTTTCCTTCAGAAATTGATTAGCTCACCCTAAAATTCATATGGACCTAGAACGGTAAAAACAATTTTTAAAAAGAACAGAGAACTTAGAGTACCTGACTTCAAAACTTGCTACTGCATAAGGACTCTCTAAGATAATGCAGTACAGAGATGAGGGTAGGATCTCAGGGACAGAACTGAGTCTGATTATTACACTATCGCATTTGTGGTCAATTGGTTTTTTTAAATATTTTATTTATTTTTAGAGAGAGGGGAAGGGAAGGAGAAAGAGTAGAAGAGAAACATCAATGTGTGGTTGCCTCTCATGTGTCCTCCACTGAGGACCCAGCCTGCAACCCATGTGCCCTGACTGGAAATTGAACCGGCGACCATTTGCTTCATAGGCCTGCGCTCAATCCACTGAGCTACACCAGCCAGGGGTGCAGTCAATTGGTTTTTGACAAAGGTGTTAAGGCTATTCAATGGGCAAAAAATAGTCTCATCAACAAATGGAACCAGGGAAGTTGGGTATCCATATGCAAAAAAAAAAGAAAGAAAAAAGAATTTAGACCTTCCCTCACACTATACACAAAAACTAGTTTAAAATAGATCATAAACTTAAGTATATTAACTAAAACTATAAAATTTCTACAAGAAAGATTAGCAAAATACGTTGAACTTTGGGTTAGGCAGAGTTCTTAAACACGACACCAAAACATAATCCATATAATGACAAACCCATACATTGAGTTAGATCCAAATTAAAGGCATTTGTGTTTCTAAAGACATCATTAAGAAAATGAAAAGACAAGACCTATACTGGGAGAAAATATTTTCAGATCGTATATTTGATAAAGGATTTGTAACTAGAATACATAAAGAACTCTTACAACTCAATAATTAGAAGACAAAAAACCCAATTTAAAAATAGACAAAATTGACTAGACATCACCAAAGAAGATATACAAATGGCTAATAAGCACATGAAGAATGTCAACATCATTAGTCATTAGCAAAATGCAAATCAAAGCCACAATGATATACCATTATCCACCCACTAGAATGTCTATAATCAAAAAGACAATAACGAGTTTGGCAAGGACGTGGGCAAGCGAGGACCCTCAGGCGCGGCTGGTGAGGGTCTGCAACTGGGCCGCCATTTTGAAAACCAGTTTGGCGTTTTCTTGAAAAGCTAAATAGAAACTCACCGTACGACCCAGCAACTCCATTCCTAAGTCTCTATACAAGAAAAATGAAAGCATCCAATCGGTTGTTTTCATTTGTGCGTGAATGCTCAGAGCAACATTATTCGCAAGAGCCAAAAACCCTGAAACAATCCACATGTCCATCGGCTGGTCGGCGAATAAGCCGAGTGTGGTCTGTCCTTCCCACGGAATTAGACTCGGCCGTAAAGGAGGAAGGAACTACTCAAACATGCTAGTCCTTGGATGAACCTCAGAAGCATCACACAAAGTGAAGGAAGCCAAATACGAAAGACCACATATTGGATGATTTCACTTACATTAAATGTCCCCAAAAGGCACAATTAATAGAAACAGAAAGCAAATCAGTGGTTGTCATGGGCTGGGGGTGGGAGCGTGGTCGCCCTGAAGGGCCCTGGGGGAAGTGCTAGGGGGTGAAATGGCTCTAAAACTGGATGATGGCGATGACCACACAACTCCACACATTTAGTGAAGGTCGCCAGATTGTAGGCTTCACTAAGTGAATTTTATGATATTTAAAGCAACCTTCAGTAAAGCCGTAAAAAAACATTCAGTGCTCCAGGACGGGGCTGGATGGTGCACGGCCTGGGGCCAGCCCTTGTGAGCCTGGGGCACGGGAGCCTGCATCCTGGCCATGGGTGCTCTGTCCCGCCCTGTGGGATCAGCCAGGCCCTTGCCCATTCTTCCCAATGGCTGCAGGCGCCCAGGGGCAAACATATGCACTGCAAACTTGCTTTCTTGGAAAGCAGGGATCTCTGTGTCCTTGAAATTGCCCGTGGGTGCTGTGGACAGCCTGCCTCGCTGGTGGAGGCATGTAGGTGGGAGCTGGCCCTCAGGTCCAGCGCCCTGCCTGCACCGGGGGTGTCCTGCCCACGCCCACCCTGATGCTCTCTGCCTTCTTCTCCCCAGGCTCCCCCCTTCATCTCCTCCCTTCCTCCCTCCCTCCCTCCCTCCCTCCCTCCCTCCCTCCCCCCTTTCTCCTTCTCTGCTCTGCCTCTTCCCTCTGCTTCCTCTGACATCATCTCTCCTCCTCTTTGGTATTTCTCTTTTTGTTCTCTCTCTCCTTTTCTCTTCTTTCTCTCTCCACTGTGGCTGTTCGACTCGTATTCATCATACACTGCCCCTCTCTACTCTCCAACCTGTGCAAAGAATTTTCCCCCTGCTGCCTCCAGGCAAAGTCAGTGGAGAAGAATACATTTTTCATTTGTTTTTGCATTATTCTGCTCCTGCACCCCACTCAGTGGAACTCAGGTCCCTCTGCGTGTGACTAGAGATGGGACACACCTTGACCTCCGAGATTTGTGTTGCCATTTCCCATAGTAGTAAACTGCACTCAGGGAGTCAGACACCAGGCCCTGGTCATCAGCAAGTCTGTCGGCAGGTCAAGTGGGTTTTCTGTGTCCGTGGGCAGGGAACATGGGGAATGGGAGTTCTTTTGTCTCCATTCCCTGGCTGGAAGGTAAGAACTTATTAGAAAGTTGTCGAGTTCCCAAGGATGCTGGACCTGAAAGTCATGTTTCCAGCCAAGGACACCTGCTGCACACACACAGAAGGGACATTCTGTGCAGGCCCGGCCCACCTCCCTGACAGTGGACCCACTGGGTCTCTGGAACCAAGGTGATGAGGAGGACCAGGGAAAGCAGATTCCCCAATTTTCTTTCCTTAATCTAGTTCTAAACGAGAAACTGAGTCAGGGTCAGCTCACCTGGGTTTTTGTCTTTCCTCTGAGGATGTCATGTCCTTCCCTGCACCTCGATTTCCCATAATCCAAAGCAGGATCAATGATCCCAGTGTCAGATGAGAGGACCACAGGGACACCCAAGGCTGTCCAAAAGGATTGTGCTTGTCATACGCCTGGCCCCATTTGGTCCTCCCGGCCTCAGCGTCAATGGCATCTCTCAGGAGGAGCCGTCCTTGTCACCCTGTCCAAAGAAACAACTTTCGTCTTGTTGCCACAGAGCATCCTGGTTCCCTTCCCAACACCTCCATCTCCTGAAGTTGTTTTATTCATTCCTGGGCTGCTTGTTGACTGCCAGCCTCCCCTCTACAATGGAAGCCCCATTAAGATGGCACCTTGCCGCTGGCTTAGCACCCGCCCCTCAGCAGGTATGGCCAGTAAATATGTATTGAACAAATGAACGAATGAATGAATGAATGAATGAAATTACTTATCCAAGCTCCAGATATTATCAAGGATGAAACTGAGGCCCCAGGGGAAAAAGTGACTTGCCCAAGCCTGCAGAGCCAGGTGGGTCTCTAGTCCCCTCCTGGGGCCTTCACCCCGACCCCAGGTCCCCAAGTCCCTTCCCAGCCTGGTCTCTCCCCTCAACTGGGGGCCATCCACCGAAACGTCTCACCCACCCGCCTGCTCCCTCTTCAGCCAGGCCCATATTTCCTTTGGAGTAATAATTAAAATAACATATTCACCAGCTGGGTTTTTTTTTTCCTTAGATTTAATCTGCCCAGGCTCTGATTTGCATATTAAAAGCACTAATTAGCCCCTCCGAGTGCTTGAGCACGCACTGCGCAATAACTGGCCATGTGCTCCCTGAAGGCCCGCCCGGCTCTGGGCTGGGACTGGATGGCGACCACAGCCCAGCCCTGGGCAGGGAGGGGCTTTGTGTCCCCGAGTTTGGGGACTGGAGTGCCACAAGGCTTCATCCTGTGGCTCTTCTTCTCTTTGAAGTGTTGTGTTTGATCTGTTAGCTTGTGTGTCGATTTTTATGTTAGCACCTTTGGAGTATGCCTTTGAACCCCTCTGGCCACCCCTGAGCTCAGAGCCAGGGGACATGGGCGGCCTTTGAGCAGTGACACAAGTATGAGCCCCCAAGTCTAAGCTGGGTGGGCTCTCTCTTCCTTCCCAGGTGTCTCCCACCCCACCTCCAAGCAAGGATGAGAGGGTCAATTCCGGCGTGAGTGTCCCTTTAAATTATTCTTCTACTGGAAGTATTCAAAGGAATTGCTAATTGTTATTATTTTCTTAAAAATAAAATTGGGGGAATGTGTGTGAGGGGAGGGAGGCGTCCACGGAAGCTATCAGTCCATGAAGTGGGGTGCCGATTGCGCTGGCTGCAGACTGACACCCAGAGGTGGCATTCAGGGGTCCCCAAGATGGCTGGAGTGTTCTGCTCCCCCGAGCAGAGATGTGAGATGGGGACCTGCCCGCTCCAGGCGCAGCTCTGCAAGGGAACCGAGGCCTAACCCTCGCCGGAGCCGGTAAAGGCCAGCCAGGGACGCCCCAGAACTCCCCACACGCTGCTCCCCCAGACCCGGGTTTTCACAGCAAACGGCCCCTCCCGGAAGGCAGGCAGGAGCCTGCGGGGGTTGGGCCGCAGCAGAGAGAGCCAGATGGCGCCGCGTGAGCACCAGGGGGCAGGGCCAAAACCGTGATCGGGAAGAACGCGCTGGCAAGAGGGGTTCTTTATTTCCATCCCCGGCTGGCCGGGTGGGCTCCAGCTCCCACCCACGGCTGCAGCTCGCCGGAGCTTCAGGCGCCTGTGGGCGGCTGGGCACAGCCTGACCTGAGCACGCGGCAGGCGAGCTGGGCCGGCCGGGCGGACCCAGAGCCAACGGGACCTCCCCCAGGGGCCCCTCCGCGCTGCCTGGCTAGCGGGGCCTTCTGCCCGGCTGGTCCTTCCTGCCCTTGGCCGGCCTTGCAGGAGCCAGGAGCCACCCCCACACCTCATGACCCTCCCACCCCTGCAGCCCCACCCCCAGCTCTGCTCCGCCTCCCAGGACTTCCTGAGCTGCCCCCGGCAGCACCCCCCACCGCGTCCATCCCTACCTTGGTTCCAGATTCCCTCCTCCGGCAGGCATCTTGCCTGCGCCAGACCTCGAGATGAAGATTGAGAAGGCGTCTGGGAGGGCCCGACGTGTCACCTTGACTCTGTCGGCAGCCAGATCAGTAGCCGGAGGAGGCAGCCTAATGAGAAGGCCTGGCTTGGCTCTGAGTGTCAAAAAAGCAGGCAGGAAGCTTCAAAGTCAAGTGTGCATCTTACACTCCTCACAAAGGCTACAGAGGAGGGGAGGGGAGGAGACAGCACGGGGGACAGATGCTCTGTGGACAGAGGACTGCACCTTAAGAATCTCTCTTGGCTTTGGTGGGGAGAATCACCAGAAAGTCTAGGAAACGTGGAGCGAACTGCAAAGCGGGGTGTCTGGCAGTCCCAGCAGGAACTGTGGGGAAGGGGAAGAGCCGGCAAGCAATGGCAGCCTGAGAGTTAGGTGGCCGGTGAGCAGGCGGAGTCCTGCAGGCCAGCCGGGCCAGCCTGGGCCCGAAGAAGTCCTGGGCCTTGGGGACAGAGGTGACCATGTGGGGCCATGGGAGCTGCCACAGGAGAAGTTCCCTGGAGCCACAGGATGGATGCCTGCGGGGGGAGGGGGAGCGGTGAAAAGAAGGAGGCAGGGATGCGCCCTGGGGCAGAAGGCTGCCTGGTTCACTTGGGACCTCTTGAGCGCACAGCTTCCAACAAGGAGGTGAACAGGGGTGGAGGGGATGGCGCCCCTGCAGGCAGGAGTGCAGCCCATGTGCATTTCCAAGTGGAAGGCAGAGTTATGAAAGGGGTGTCCTGAGGGTTTGCAGGACTCCCTCGGGGCTGGAGAGCCCAGGAGGGGGACAGGCAAGGGCCGTGGCAGAGAGAGAGGAGTGGGAGCTTGATGCAGGCCTGCCTGGTGCCCTGGGGCACGCTGTTCCCAAGGAGAAAGGGTAACCACTTACCCGCCCCCCCTCAGACTCAGGATCAGTGTGTCTGGAAAACAGGAGGAGGAGAATACCTCCCCAGAGAAGGTGACTGGGTGGGTGAACACTATAGCAAGAAGACCCTCAGCCCGGACAGACACTTGGGTGTCACAACTTACACCAAGGGTTCCAGAGGCTGCCTTCCAAAGACGATGGGTTTTCCTTTCGGGAACAGAAACTTTCCAAAGGGGCATCAGGAAACCCAAATCCATCTGTCACTGAGAAACTGGCTCAGCTGCACCGAAGGGCTGCTGGGGACAGGCCCAAGGACTGGCTCCAAGGCCCTGGCAGGTGGCTTGACCACATCTTTCCCCAAAAAACGTTACGTCCCCTCCCAGGTACACCAGCTGGGGAGCGCCAGTCTCTGTGGCCAGGGATCTGAACTCGGGTCCCCAATTTGAATGTGGGTCTCCGCGGGGCCCTGAGGGCCCTGCTGCGACTTGAGGAACACAGTTACCAGCGCCACCAGACATGGTCAGCTGCTGCTGCCGTGGCCCCCTTGACTCCCATACCTGATTGTTAATCACTGCACCGTCAACAGCGTGTCTCCAAGAGGCCGTATGACCCAGGAACTGTGCAGGGGTGTGGATGACGGAGGGTGGGAGGGGCTTGCAGTTGAAGAAGATAGTTGAGAGGAAGCTGACTGACCCCTCATTTGACCCCGGGGAGAAGGACCAGGACTGGGAGGGCTTTGTCGGTTGGGATAGAGACAAGGGGACACAGACTCTGATGGGGGTGCATGGTGAGCGCTCAGCAGCCAGAACTGGGCAGGACACGGAGAAGACAGTGTGCGTGGGAGAGAGACTTGGTACACGTGCCAGGATTGTAATCTCTCCAAAGCGAGCTCTAAAAGTAAGAGACTAACGGCCCTGTCCCGCTTCCAAACAGAAGAGCCCTTGTGTCCTGCATGCGGGAGGGCCGTTGTTCGGGTGCTCTGTGCTGTGGATAACACCTCGCTGGGTCCCTGCTGTTGGCACAGAGGTGACTATTTGCCTGTGCCAGGTGATGTGACTGTGTGTGGCAGGTTGCTCTCTGAGCCTGGTGTCCCCCGTGGCCTTAGATAGGTGCCCGGCAGGCACCACCCGGTGTGTTTCGGGAGCTTCCGGGGCAGCCTGGACTTGGTGCTCATGAAAGGCGCCAACAGCTGAATCTTCCACCTGCCTGGACCCAGGAGGGTTTTAAGGAGCTACAGAAATTGACCTTCCAAGATGCATCTCCTTTGAGATATGTCTCATTTCTCCCCCAAGAGGTGCACAGCCGCCCGCCAAGGTGAGCCAGTACCCAGCTGACCGGCGGGCAGCACGTAGGGGGCGTTGATCTGGCCCTCCCTGCCCTCCCTGCCCTCCCAGGGAGGCCCATCACGCTCGAGATCTCATGTGCAGAGAGGATTAGACAACTCGCGGGAGAAGAAAGAACTAGAAATGGGCAGACAGAGCCCCACCCCCTCCCCCACGGCCAGCCCCCACCTCAGGCTTCTCCTCCCCTGGGCAGGTGGCGGACATGACGGGACTCTAACAATTGCTCTGTCTCCTTTCTCCCCTTCACACCTGTCCCTGTTGGATGGGTGGTCCAAGGAGATGTGGCTGAGCTGACAACCATTCTTGCTGGAGGGGACCTTTGTCCCTAAAGACAGACTGGGACAGTCAAGGGAGGGAAATCAAGTTTCTGGTGGGTTAGAGTAGGCCAAGCAAGCAAGCGCGTTGCTTAAGGTCACACATGTTGATGCGGCTCCCTTCATCAAGAGGTAGAGTCCGGTGGTCAAAGCAAGTCCCAAGGCCAACCACGACACAAGGGGCAGGAGGGGCTGCGGAATCTCGTGGCCCTGTGTTCCCATCCAACACATGCACATGCTCTGCCACGCAGCGACTCCAGGTCTCACGGTGCGCCCTGGACCTGGGAGGACTCTCACACAAACGGACGGGGACAGAAGCGCTCACCACCATGCCGGTCATCACGGCAAAATTGAAAATGAAAACAGCAGTCCCTGGAGGATGCAGATGGACAACGGCCTGTTTGTGCCTTGGGCAGCTGGACAGCGATTTATAAGACGAGGCAGACGCCCACTCACAGCACGGGCGGCTCAAAGGCCATGTGGGTGGGACAAAAACGACCTGCAGAATTAAATGTACAGTGTGATATGGTTCTGAGGAAAGATTTAAAGGGCCAAAATAATGTCACGGATTGTTTGCACATATTTGCACGCATGTCTCGCTCTCTGTTCTGTGTATCAAATGGCTGTACCTCGATTACTCGGGATCCGGTGGCTGTGGGAGTGGAATGGCGCCGGGGGTTCTCTGGGGAGAAAATGGGGTGGGCACCTGGGTCCAGTTTGGGCATTCGAGAGTCAACGCAGAGAATAATTTCAAAATAAAAATATAAAGTTGAGGAGACTAGCCATGCAGGAGGAAGCTAAGGGGGGAAGCTGGCCCAGGGGAGTTTGTAGGACATGGAAGGAACGTCAGCTACAGGGCTTTGAGGCAGGCCCTGCCTTCCCACGGGCGCTCCCGCACACGCAGCGTGTGGAAGCTCAGTGCTTTGCTTTGTTTTGTCATTGTTGCTTATTTCTGCTTACCCTTGCAATGTGCCCCTTTTATTAGGAAGGTCAGGCTGTTGCCACTGTCTGGATGAACTTGGTCTTGCCAAGACCCTTCACGATGACTGGACTCTGCCCCTAGGAAGTCCTGTCCCCTTCGTCTTTCCACGGCTGCATTAGCCCAACGTAGGGGGTTGGGAATGTGTTTTTTGGCATTCTCTTCATGGACAATAATCCTATGAAGAACCCCCGGGGAGGAAGTGCAGGGTGGACATGAACGTGGTCCTTGTTCTGAGCTAAAGGGGGCGGGAGCCTTGACCAGATGAGCAGGATGGAGGCGCAAAGGAGACCACCCCCAGGTAGACCCATCCTGTGCCAGCTGCTCTCGGCTCCCCCAGTGCAGCCCACGTGTCTGCCCCTCTGTGCTGTGTCTGACACCTGAGCCAGGCTCCCACCTTGGGAATATAGACCCAGTACAAATGCCACCTCTGCAGAACCTCCCGTGACCCCTCACCTCGCCCTTCACACTCCCCAGCCTCGGGCTCACACCCCTACCTCCTGCAGCTCAATGTGGCAGCCGGGGGGCCTTTCCGCCCCTTCCACCGCTGACCCTGGTCATTCACCCAGGCTCTTCCCGGGGGCTGCCCTACGGTGGAGGCATGAGGGAGGGCGTGTTGGAACAGGGTTCACAAAGGAAGGGGCGACGGGAGCCGTGGGGAGGATGGAAAGGTGAGGCGACACTGGCCACGCAGCGCAAAGCCCCCAGGGAGGGAGGTGGCTTTGCCAGGCCCTCTTATGTCTCGGGAAATGGGTGGCAGTACCAGTGTTGTGGTCCCACCAAGAAGGCCGCTCGGGCAGAGCAGGCTGTCTGCAGGACGCAGGGCACGCCGCGGCCCGTGGGGAGAAGGACTTCCGTCTAAACCCTGGGGCTCCCTGGGGTGGTGTGGCTGACTCTCCCCCTTCCTGTGCAACCCCCGATTCCATAGTCATTCACGAACATGAACAGCAGTGCGGCCGTGCCCCTGAGTGGGTCCATTCACACGGTTCGGTGCTGGGCTCTTGTAGTAGAGCTGCCTGATATCAAATCCTGCCACTTCCTGGCTGTGTGACTGTGTACAAGTCCCTTAATCTCTCTGAGCCTCAGGTTCTCATCTGGAAAGCACGGGGAACAACAGCACCCATCCCACTGCGGGTTCTGAGGGGCAGTTAGAGCCGACGTCGCAGGGCCGAGACTTGTGTTACAGTATGTGTGTTGTCTCATGTCATCTCCAGGTCACCTGCAGCTAGAGGGGACTGAAGCTCAGAGACATGTCCACCCCGCAGGGAGAGAGTCCAGATTTGGACCCAGCTCTCTTGTCTGGCCCTGGGGACAAAAAGGCCCTAGGAAAGGCCACTGCCAGCCCTCCTCACCTCCCCTCCTGAGGCTGTCATGGCTCCAGACACAATGCTGATCTGCGGTTCTAAGTGGCGACACAGTGGTAACCAAGAGGAGCCCTGTGGCCCCCAATCCACCACCATCTGCCTGCACCCCACCCAGTCTCCTACCACAAAGCTCACGCCCAGGCCTCCAGGGACCACCAAACCC